ATGTATCTCTATATCCTTTGCCATTAAAAAAAAATATTATACCTTGTGCCTGTTGGCTTCTTTCTCTTAGCGTTACTCCTGCTCCATGATGATGCCCAGCAGAAGTCATGACCTTTAAAATGCGGTCCTTGTGCCCTAAGGCCCCTCATGCCCCTCACATATTTTCATTCTCTTTTAAGAACCCTATACTCTACCTTCTCTGGTTTATTCTCTAAAGAATATTTTGTCCTTTCACATTGTTGTGTTGAGGTCTGTATCATTCCCTTGGTTTGAAAAGCTTTTATTCCTTGGTGTCCCTTACTTTCTCTGTTCGAACAGGATTTTAACACAGTGTCCTGAGAAATATTTAACCAGTGAAGCCCACAAGTCCCCAGGCAGAATTGAGGAATTGGACAGTAAAGTGGACTTTGAGAGATTAAGTATATACTATCAGTGTATATATTTCTACAACAAAGTAAAATGAATTATGATTGCTAGAATTTGAATCTCAACTTCGGCTTATTAGCTTTGTGACCTATGGTATGCCTCAGTTCACCTATAAAATATAGATGTAAAATGGCAGGTACTTTTGAGGACTGTGAAAATTGAATGAGATCATCTTTGCAAAGTGCTTAGCAGGGTGCTTGGCACAGAGCAGGCTTTCACAAATACAACTCATCTTGGGCCTTTTGTTTTCTTTTCAGGTTGTACTCTGCATTCTTCTAACTCTTAGGTGTCCTCTGAGCACTGAAGAAACAAAGATTCCTAAACCACTAAGTATCTGCCCCCTCCTATAACCTGGAAAGCCCCAGGGGCCACAGCACAAAGAAAAAACAGTCTCTGGAGGAGTTACAGCATTTGGCAGTTGGCAGAGGCCACGGGAAGCTGGGGTATCCAGGGAAAAAGCAGGATAGAGAATTTAAAGAGGTTAGAGGGATCCCAGTGGGAGGTCTTTTAAAGTGACAATACTCCTCACATGACAGTGTTTTTTTCATCTTTGATCTCATGTCATTCGTCACTCTTCCTGCTTCTCCTGAAGGGTCCTGTATAAATATGCCTTCTTTTGAGTTAAAGCAACACCAGAGAAAGTTGAAGAAAACTCCAGGAATGTGAGTAACTGATTTGGGGTCTGGGGGTTGAGCTGAGAGTCTCCAGGTCAGGGTCACCCTAGAAAACCTCACTATAAAGAGCAGGCCAGGTCTGGTGGGTACTGCTAATACCAAGATCACCTTCTGCACATGAAGAGAGGATGAGGGTGGAGGGGAAAGGGGAACAGGCAACACTTGACTACCTTGGCACAAAGCTGAGAGAGGAAAGGGTAAGTTTAACCTTGGGATGATGAAGAGAGTTTTTAGGGACCAAAGGGAGTTACGAGAAAAGAAACCGAGTGGTAGGGCTGATTGGGAGCATGTTTATTTGGTTATAGAGGGGAGGCACAGGGCTATCATAAATACAAAGGCTCCTTTCAAAAGAGTTGCATTACTGCTTTGACCTTTAAGACAATTTTAATTTGAATTGTGTATTTCCCACACTTTAAATAGGAAGGAAAAGTCCTCACATATCCTATTTAGTTACTGAAATGAAGTGACTTGTCTAAGTTTTTCTTTAGCGATGACCCTCCAGGTCTTCACGGGAGCGTTTCTGCAGGGTTGGAAGCCGAGGCAGGGTCTGGGATGGAAATTTCTTAGGAGAGCAGAGCTCTCTGAGGAATAGTGAACCTCAACAACCAGGAAGCAATTGTGTCTGTATCTTGGTGTGGGTAGTGGCTGTGTGGGTATGTTCATGTGCTAACTTTATAAAACTTTATCCAGCTATACATGTGAAATTTGTGCATTTTACAGTATTTATTACTTCAGTCAAAAAGTTAGCAAAAAATGAGGGCACAGGAAGTAATTAAATGTTTTGGATAAGTCAAACAGAATAAAGAATGAAAAAGAAATCACTGGATTGGCAGCAGGTCCTTGACAGATGTCATTGCTAATCTTATCAAGAACATTTTTAGTAGCAAGATTGAAGAATAAAATAAGAATGACCAACTAAACCAAACGTCCACTCATTGGAAAATAAATAAAATATGTAGACCCCTAGTAGAGCTAATCAAGAAGGAAAAGATATGAGGACAATAAGGAAAACGAGGAAAATTCCCCCTCAGGGGAATGAAAGGTATGACTAGCTAGGCGTTGCCAGGGCTAGAAAGAGGAGGGATGGGCAGTGCACCAGTGGGAACTGCCCTCAGAATAAAGGTGGGTTTTGGGGGACGGGGTGCATTCCAGCTCTCAGACTGTCCTCTGGCTCTGTAAGCAGAACACACACAGCAGTCTTAAGGATACCCTGAATTATTTTTGCCACTCTCTGTATCTTTTTACTTCGAAGAGCTTTCCTATGTCTTCTCAGTGTCTACCACTGAAAGTGTTTCACCCAGTGCCTATACCAGCAAGGTTCTTCTGACTATGAAGCAGAACTCACTACTTTCATTTAATCTGTTCTATTATAAGACATTTCTATGTGTAGGGCCTTGTGTTTTTGGAGATGTTGGTGAAGGTTTGTCTGTTGCAGTAAAGACCACAGTTTGCAATCACACCCCAGAAATTTGGATTTTTAGAAAACTTGTGAAGACTGCTGTTGGTAGCACACACAGCGTGGGTGTTGAGTGAATCAGTGCTAGGCTCTCCAGGGGTAAATGGAAGGGAAGAACACATGTTCCATGTTAGGACTGAGAACCAAGAGAATGTCTAGTGCTTCATTAACAGAGAAAATGTCCACTGAAGTTGCTGGGGGCTGGAGCCAGTACTTCATCAATCTGATATACCCAATTATTTAGGGAGGGGCTGGATCCCTAATGAGAAATTAAAAAGGGGTAAGTAGAAACAGTGTTCAAGGGTAAGGATATGGAAATTTCTTAGCCTGGAAGTTCCTTAGTTATGAGGAGGCTAGCCTTGAGGTTTGACAAATAAGCACCCTTTATTTAAGATTGCCTGGACACCTGGGAAATAGGTCTTGGGCTATGTATCACTACTGTAAAGTCAACATAAGTCACACAATTGATGTGATGATCTATCAGGCTGAGACCTTGAGAAATGAAATATTAGGGCAATGAGAGCTCAAGGAAGGAGATCAACTATACTTCAAATGGTCTGGTCCATACCTGGACCTTGAGTCTAAATATGGGACCAAGCTACATGTCCATGTCCCTGGGAACTGGAATGAACTGATAGTCAGAGGAAAAACTTTTGCTTTACCTTTTCAGTTTCATCAATTTTAATTTCAATTTCTATCCATTTCAATGTAGCAAGTATGGCAGCAGAGGTGTCAACTTCTCTGGTTTCCTATTACAGATGGGTTTTCAGAAATATAAGGGAGCCGTCCCCTTTTCATAGAACTGACAAAGTAAAAAAAAAAAGCAAAGAAACCCAAAACAAAACAAAAACCCTAAATTTGAGAACTGACCTACAATGGAACAGAGTGAGCCCATCAAGGTCAGATTAGAAGAACCTTGCTGTGTATAGTCACTGAGAACATCTTCACTGACAGGTCACGGATGGAAAGTTCTAGGCAATGTTAGGTCAAGCCGCCATTTAAAAAATTTGGCCTCCAAGTCACACCCATGTGAGTATGATCTTTAGAGCAATTTTGACCTATAGGATTAAGCAGGGAAAATGGTCTCATTTTTTATTAGTGATATTTTATTGAGCAACTATATATCATGCATTGTGCTAAGTGCTTATATGTAGCCTCTCACTTCAATCTCAAAACATCTCTATGAATTAATGACTATTTCCCCATTTTATGAATGAGCAAATTGAGGCTTGGGGATTTTAAAGAACTTAACTGGGGCAAAACAGCTAGCAAGTGAAAGAGTAGGGTTTTCAGTCTAGGGAGGAAATTTTTAGAATCAATGCTTTTTAGCCCTTTTGTTATCCAATCTCTTGATGATGTAGGACCAACACATTTTGAGTGGAGTACAAAGAAATATGCAGGACTTCTGAGAAACTAGGGGTTCCTCGAAGAAGTTCAAAGAATATCTCCCAAGGCAGAGTGATACCACCAGGGGAAGGGCCCCTTGTAGGGAGTGTTCTTAACTGGTTGGTAGAATATGCACAGGCCCAGACATATGAAATCAGGGAAACCAGCCAAATGAAGGGGAAAGTAGGTTACAGGCATTATAACACAGGAATGAAATCGTAGTTTATGATGGCTCCTTATATTCACTCACTAGATTTACTCAACCAGATTACTACACACTAATGATATGGTAACACCTGAGTGAGGTAGCTGAACCTGAATGCAGCAATAAACAGAAACAGGCTTCTGGCTATGCAGAGGTGTAACTCTCTCTCACCAAAACTGGCTGAGGGAGGTCCTTAATAACTACATATATGTATATGGGTGTGTGTACGTGTGTGTATGTGCGCCTATATTATCAATACCCACAGTTGTTTTCTGGCCTAATAATCTTGGGCTGGATGGCCCTCTAAGTGACAAGTATTAACAGGAGCTAGAAAGACCTGGACTTGAATCTCAAATTTACCACCTACCTGCTATGTGATCTTGGACAAAATATTTAATCTTATTTTAACTGTATCAACTATATTGTATGGAATGATCATTTTATAAGTGGAGAAATACACTGAGATTATAAATGTTTTTCAATTTAGTACATACTATGTTCATTAAACAATGCTTTCCTTTCTATAGGATAAAGCTTCATTGTTTTTTGGAACGTCTTGATGGTTTATCATGAAGGAGTTATCCATATCATAAATGGAGGAATAAAAGAAATACTATGAAGAATCAAAAAAAATCTACTGAGGTGGGTTTCATCTATAAGGGTACCCTAAGGTTTTATGTGAAGCTATTTAATCTATTGATTGAACCTAGCTCAACAGAAAATCCAGGCTGAAATCTAGAGAAGGCGGGGTTGTAAGGCAGATAGTTTATTATATCCTATGAATAGTGCTAATGTTGTTCTCTAATGACCTCATTTTCCTAAATGCATTGATCTATTTCTTTAACCAGAAAGATGCTTCATTTGTCTTTTGTCTAAACACTGTAGCAAGGACACATTTAATCTTAAGACATTGTTTCATTCAGTAATTATTAAGTATCAGGAACTGAATATACAAAGATAAAAGACAAACTTTTTGATTTCTCATTCTATGGAGACTGTTTGCTATAATGGGCACACATCTTTTTTAATGGACTTGTGTACCACAGCTATGGGTCACACACTTGGCAAAAGGCCATGAACAAGACATGACTGAATACAACAGTCACAGGTAGAGTATTGGAATTGTTAATTTAGGTCTCTAAAAGGTCAATATGGGAGATTCCATGAAAGCTCAAAGGAAAGGTACCTAATTTAACCTTGTCATGGGATGAGGGAGGAGACAGAAGAGACTTTCTAAAGGAGGTAGCTCATGAGCTATTTGAATAATAAATAGGAATTATCAGGCAAAGCATCCAGTGGAGGATGGAAGCTGGAGCAGGACAACCTTGTCAGACACTAGTTTTCTGGTCCTGTGGTCCACTGGGCTGGTACCGCCACTAGGCTTTCCTGACCCTATGGCTCGAAACAAGTCTTACAGGAGTACATCCTTTTTTCACAGTTTTATGCATTAATAGGAAAGCAGTCTCTGTGATGCCGTGGATACTCTACAACCACACAGTGGAAACCCCTGCCACCTTCCTCCTTGTGGGTATCCCAGGTTTGCAATCATCACATCTTTGGCTGGCTATCTCAGAGTGCCATGTATGCCACATCCCTGTTGGGAAACACACTCATAATGACTGTAATCTGGATGGACTCCACTCTACAAGAGCCCATGTATTTCTTCCTGTGTGTTCTGGCTGCTGTGGACATTACAATGGTGAGCATCTTCTCCTCAGGAGACAGCTCCATCAGCTTTAATGCATGTTTCACTCAGATGTATTTTGTCCACGCAGCCACAGCTGTGGAAACAGGGCTGCTACTGGCCATGGCTTTTGATCACTATGTGTCCATCTGTAAGCCCCTACACTACAAGAGAATTCTCACACCTCAAGTGATGCTGGGAACAAGTGTGACCATCACCATCAGAGCTGTCATATTCATGACTCCACTGAGTTGGATGGTGAGTCACCTACCATTCTGTGGCTCCAACGTGGTTCTCCATTCCTACTGTGAGCACACAGCTGTGGCTAAGTTATCATGTGCTGACCCCATGTGTAGTAATCTCTACAGTCTGAGTGCTACATCCATTACTGTAGGCTCTGATGTGGCCTTCATTGCTGCCTCCTATTACCTGATTCTCCAGGCAGTATTTCGTCTCTCTTCAAAGAATGCTCAGTTAAAACCATTAAGCACATGTGGCTCCCACATTGGGGTTATGGCTCTATACTACCTACCTGGGATGGCATCCATCTACGTGGCTTGGCTAGAGAAGAACACAGTACCTTTGCACACACAAGTGCTATTAGCTGACTTATATGTAGTCATTCCCTCCACCTTAAACCCCATCATTTATAGCCTGAGGACAAAACAGGTACAAGCACGAACATGGAGCTTGCTGACTGACATACTACTGCCTCTTCGACCTGGCTTCATGAACAGAAACTCTGTCCAGATCTCAAACATTCCTGCTGACTTCAGAGACCTGTAGAGCTGGTTTGGTTCACCTAGCACATTAAGGACTTCTAAGATTAATCTATAAAGGGTATCCTTGCATAACTTTCCAATTTCCAGCAAGAATAAATGTGAATAAAATGATTGATTTCCTAACAATAGTTTTAATGGTTTCAATCAACTAAAAATCTACATCAGAGATAAGTATGGGCAGAGAATATAGATTTGGGGTTTTTCTTTCCTCCAGAAAGGAGTTAGCTTCAGACCCATACTTTCAACTTAGTATTCTACCAGGCCCCCTGCAGAATAAACCAACTCTTTGGTCCCCCCAACACCTGGCTGATTTTCTCAGAATTGTTCATCTTCTCATGTGATTACATGGAATCAACTATTAATATATGACCCTTCGTTTTGGCCCATTGATGAAGTTACTCAAGTTGGGTTCTGTGCTCATACCTGGACCAAAGCCCCTCTCCAGTCAAAATAGATTCCAGTTTATCTGAGAATATATAAACTTAGGATAACAGATGGCAGCCATTTTCCAAAATAAGAACTTGTAAAGAAAAACCCGTTCCACAGCAAGAGGAGCAGAATAGCAAAAAGGGATGAAGAAATGGAGAGCTCAAAGGAAAGGTACCTAATTTAACCTTGTCATGGGATGAGGGAGGAGACAGAAGAGACTTTCTAAAGGAGGTAGCTCATGAGCTATTTGAATAATAAATAGGAATTATCAGGCAAAGCATCCAGTGGAGGATGGAAGCTGGAGCAGGACAACCTTGTCAGACACTAGTTTTCTGGTCCTGTGGTCCACTGGGCTGGTACCGCCACTAGGCTTTCCTGACCCTATGGCTCGAAACAAGTCTTACAGGAGTACATCCTTTTTTCACAGTTTTATGCATTAATAGGAAAGCAGTCTCTGTGATGCCGTGGATACTCTACAACCACACAGTGGAAACCCCTGCCACCTTCCTCCTTGTGGGTATCCCAGGTTTGCAATCATCACATCTTTGGCTGGCTATCTCAGAGTGCCATGTATGCCACATCCCTGTTGGGAAACACACTCATAATGACTGTAATCTGGATGGACTCCACTCTACAAGAGCCCATGTATTTCTTCCTGTGTGTTCTGGCTGCTGTGGACATTACAATGGTGAGCATCTTCTCCTCAGGAGACAGCTCCATCAGCTTTAATGCATGTTTCACTCAGATGTATTTTGTCCACGCAGCCACAGCTGTGGAAACAGGGCTGCTACTGGCCATGGCTTTTGATCACTATGTGTCCATCTGTAAGCCCCTACACTACAAGAGAATTCTCACACCTCAAGTGATGCTGGGAACAAGTGTGACCATCACCATCAGAGCTGTCATATTCATGACTCCACTGAGTTGGATGGTGAGTCACCTACCATTCTGTGGCTCCAACGTGGTTCTCCATTCCTACTGTGAGCACACAGCTGTGGCTAAGTTATCATGTGCTGACCCCATGTGTAGTAATCTCTACAGTCTGAGTGCTACATCCATTACTGTAGGCTCTGATGTGGCCTTCATTGCTGCCTCCTATTACCTGATTCTCCAGGCAGTATTTCGTCTCTCTTCAAAGAATGCTCAGTTAAAACCATTAAGCACATGTGGCTCCCACATTGGGGTTATGGCTCTATACTACCTACCTGGGATGGCATCCATCTACGTGGCTTGGCTAGAGAAGAACACAGTACCTTTGCACACACAAGTGCTATTAGCTGACTTATATGTAGTCATTCCCTCCACCTTAAACCCCATCATTTATAGCCTGAGGACAAAACAGGTACAAGCACGAACATGGAGCTTGCTGACTGACATACTACTGCCTCTTCGACCTGGCTTCATGAACAGAAACTCTGTCCAGATCTCAAACATTCCTGCTGACTTCAGAGACCTGTAGAGCTGGTTTGGTTCACCTAGCACATTAAGGACTTCTAAGATTAATCTATAAAGGGTATCCTTGCATAACTTTCCAATTTCCAGCAAGAATAAATGTGAATAAAATGATTGATTTCCTAACAATAGTTTTAATGGTTTCAATCAACTAAAAATCTACATCAGAGATAAGTATGGGCAGAGAATATAGATTTGGGGTTTTTCTTTCCTCCAGAAAGGAGTTAGCTTCAGACCCATACTTTCAACTTAGTATTCTACCAGGCCCCCTGCAGAATAAACCAACTCTTTGGTCCCCCCAACACCTGGCTGATTTTCTCAGAATTGTTCATCTTCTCATGTGATTACATGGAATCAACTATTAATATATGACCCTTCGTTTTGGCCCATTGATGAAGTTACTCAAGTTGGGTTCTGTGCTCATACCTGGACCAAAGCCCCTCTCCAGTCAAAATAGATTCCAGTTTATCTGAGAATATATAAACTTAGGATAACAGATGGCAGCCATTTTCCAAAATAAGAACTTGTAAAGAAAAACCCGTTCCACAGCAAGAGGAGCAGAATAGCAAAAAGGGATGAAGAAATGGAGTCTTTAGTTCTATGGGCTCAAATCATTTGGATATCCAGGCAGATCCCTGTTATTAAGCTCTATAAAATACCTCTATATCCTCTTAATTTATCCCCTACTTTTTAAGCTAGTTGGAATCAGTGTAGTAATCACCAGCCTCTTGCTTTTAAGCAACAGAAGCTAAGGCAATGTGTGTTTGGTTTTGGACATCTTTCTCTTTGCTTCCCAGTTCTGTTATGTGTACCTTAACTGTAAGACATAAAAGAGAGGGATCAAATACAACACAGGCTTTTCTTCTTTAGGAGACCTCCAAGGTGTGCTCTGAGATTGGAAGGTTAACAGAAAACAGTTTCAATTACGAATCTGAAATGTCAATTACTCTTCTCCAGGTCACCAGATACTTATTTGGTTTTGTTTTTATTTTTCCCTTACAGAAAGTCTCAAACTGAAAAATCAACATATGTTCAAAGAAAAAGATGTCATATGTGAAAGATACACCTGTTTGACTCCTGTACATTTGAAAATCTTAATAAAGGATAATTTCCTAACATCATTGATAATAAATTATTATATCTGAATCTTAAGATCTCCTTTTTACTCATGGGGCAAACAATGTTAATTCATAGAGGGTATTGAAGATTTAATAAAATGACCGGAGAACATATTATAGGTACTTAAAAAAACATACCAAATAAATTTCTTATTCCATCACTTAAGGGGTAGTTCTAGGCACTGCTGAAACTATTCCTGTGTAGATCAGTACTCATGTGGTAACTGCTGCAAATACATCTGCCGCTTAACAACGTGGCATCCATATTTTTTCCTACAACTAAATTATTTACCTACATAGAATGTATTCTATTTTGGAATTATCATCGAAGTAGAAATCAGCCTCTAAAAATCTGTTAATGATGCTCTGAATCACCAAAGAACAGTAAAAAGAAACTCTCCTTCCCTTGCAAACCCTAACATAAAAACAAGTGCAGATAATGAGGAGGTTAAACATTTTATAAGATTTCCATTTCTATTCTTTCTTCATAAGCAACACAAAGAATTGACTATGTCCACTAAATCAATGAACATTAGATGGGTTAAAGAATCTGATATAAAGTGACAAAGCTACAGTTCAGCCTGCACTCAAAACAGAAATTTCTTCCCAGCATTTCCATCAGAGTCCTGCTTGGCCTTTTCAGTGTCTCCTTTATGTTGGTGCTCCCTGAAACTAGCTGGGACCCACTGCTAGTACTCAATACTGAACTACTTCCCAAGACCAGTTCCCCGCCATGGCCACCCCCAAACAGAAAATCCTGTGCTTCTGACACAGTCAGATAGGACCCCTATCACATGAAGCAATGTGTGCTCATGTAACTAGTGCCTGGCATCCACAGCAGACTCAGTGTTTGGATTTTAAAAGATTACAACTAATCCTGTTTGAAAAAAATGGAGATTGAGTTTTCTGTGGGAAGCTGTGAACCCAAGGATTCTGTCTTTAGCTTTTGCAGGACCCAAGCATTTTACCCTTTTAATAGTCTTTCCCCTCAAGGCTCAGGCATTGCACCCCTTGGTTTCTCTGCTAGTAAAACAAGGATGGATAAAGCTCACTCCTGCCTTGTACTGAATGATCACACCAAATTGGAGGTGCTACCCGTGGCATTCCCGGAGTGGTGCAGGTGGGCCTTCTACCCTCCACATGGCTACCTAACTCTTTTTCCTCTGGACGAAGTTGTAATTACCCATCAACTTATTTTTTGAAAAGGATTATAATTAAGTGCTATCCAGTCTTTCATAACCTCTAGGAGGTAGAAGAGCTTATTTTTGCTTTGATTTATAGGCTTATGAAAGTTCACACATACATATTTACATATACACACTCAGCTAGACTGGGGCTACAATGGTGAACCAGACAAATAAGGTCCTTTTCTTCATGGGGTTTTAGAAGGGAAATGTAAATAACTACCCTAGAGAAAAGGGTTTTCATATACTTAAGAACTTCAAACTTCTTACTTGGTCTTAATAGCCAGACAATATGAAATAATGTGCTTAACCTTGTAATTTTTCTAACTAGTAATAATAGTACCCAAATCAGCTTAAAATTATCAATCAGATGCACACACAGAATAGCACATTATAAATGAAACCATTCCACCACTCCTTAATTCATTCTAGTTTTGAATGGATTTATCACCTAATAATACTCTTTTTCTAGGATTCTTCAGGACTTGTCCTAATAAAATCATAATAAAAGAACTTTGATTTGGCCCCTAGTGTCTTTGGCTAAGTGTCCATGGACATAGCTGCTTCCAAAGATCTTCCCAAAGATCTACTTCTCAAGCCTATAAGCAATTTCCCAAAGAGTTTCCCCCACAAAGATATACGGTTCCCCTAATGTAGGTCAGCTCAACCCTTTGCCAAGACCAGGCCTAGAACTTAGCAGTTCATTCCCCTCCAAACAGAAGATGGATACCTCTTCCCTTCTGCTAAAGCTCAAAGCATGATGGGCAGAATGAGTTTTTTTTCCATTTTGGCCTGCTTTACTTCCTTCATATGTGCACAGCCAATACAATTACAGTAGGAAGTTAATATTTGCTATCCTTTATTATAAGAATTAATTTGCTGCTGCCTACAGTCAATCTAGTATTTACTTAGCTGCCCAATCCTAATCCAACAGTCACTACCTTCAAGCTTAAATGACATCAGAGGTTGCTATACAGCTTCACAGTGACAATATGTAATATAGCCCCACACAACAGGCAAAGTCAATAGTTCTCATATGCTTGTCTTGAAGTTTGTTTCCAGCAGCCTCCATCATTCCCACATCATACATACTCTTAAATGAATTATTTTTGCCATACACAATGAACACCCTAAGGACAATAGCCCAAATACACAATTTTAATTCCCTTGCAATTATAATATATGACTCTCAAACTGGCTTTTTGTGCCTAGTCCTATTCCTTCTCCCCATACTGCCATTCTATTTTCCTTCTGCCATACATTTGGAGAAGAGAAAGACGGAATATTATGTAGTTACAAGAGCCATGAAGATTCCCTTGATAATATAAAAAGAACCAAACTTTAGCCCAACTAGCTTGTGGGTGAACCTTCCTTCCAGAGCATTTGTCTTACATTTTTCTTTTTGTTATTTCCATTCTCTACCCCAAATGTCACAGTCTCCATTCTTATCTAATGACAAAACATGTAATGGATGCACAATATATTATGGCCTGGAGTCTGCTGTTGGCATAGGCACCTGTCCTAAGGGTGCAAGGCTGTCAGGAGAGGTCCTGAGAAACCAAGGCACGGCTGTAAAGATGCTGGCTTTAAGGTGAGATAGGAAGAGACCACAGGCAAAACCCATGTCGTGCCTTCCTTTGTCCCTGAGAAAGGAACAAAAGTATAGGATGGATCTGAGATCTTCACTGCAATCCTGTGAGGTAGGAGAGCATGTTAAATCCTGTACTCAGTTTTCCATGGAGGACATTTAAAATCTTTGAAACATGTGGGATGTTTCAGACCCATATGTAATGAATGATATGCAGACATGTGACCTGAGAAGTGAGTTCGTCACTCTTGTTTCATCTGAATGTGAAAAATATTTTTATAATCTTTCTAATTTTCTTCCAATAGCCTTGTAAGAAATAACTTGCTGCATTAAGGCCATTTCAGTATCTCCACCCACAAAGTAAAAATAAAAACAAGGCCCACAGGTTTTCTGATTCCAATGCTTAGAGAAAAGAAGGCACAGTTCACAGATCTCAGAGCCTGAGAGGGAGTAACTGGCCCAGTCTGTGCTCAGAGGGGGATGCCTATGGTGGCAGCCTGGGCAACATAGAATGTATTTGTTTCATTAGGGGATCAGAGAGCTAGGGTCAAATAGGGGTTGCTCAGTAGCAGCAAACCTCAAGTGAAGCATCGTCCTACTGGTCTGAGCACAGCAACTGGATATGGACAGGACTGTTTTGGCTTGTTGGCACACCCTACCTGAAGGGTTTCCTGAAGCTTGGATCCACTCATCGTCCTCACTGACTTAACTATGGCACCAGTAGCAGCCAGGGAAGAAGGGCATGAGCTACAGAAAGGAAAAAGTCCTGACTCTTATACCAATACATTACCTTAGAACTGCTCGGGTCCTTGCTATTGGCACTGCTATGCTTCCCTCATGGGGGTGTGGAGCTCATTTCACTGAGTTCTAGCTTTCTTCCATAAGTGGTTTAGTGAGGGACTTTGGCCCAGTAGCAACAGACCATGGGGTCAGGCAGAGGATCCCCTGGATTCCAGGCCTAGCTCAGTTCAAGGGGACTCTTTGTCAGTGGCAGGGTCCTCTGAGAGCTCTGCAGGCCAGGTGAAAGGCCAAGGCCTCTGGCTAGGATGGTGGCTTTCTTAGTTCTCGTCCAGGGAGCATATGGCCAGAGGAGCAGTGTTGGTGGCTCCAATGCTGTAGCAAGGACTAAAGTAGGGCAGCAGGCGCCCAGGGAAAGGATAGCGGGGGAAAGTGAAAATGTGCGAGCCATTGTCAGTCACATTGTAGAAGGAGATATCATGGGCCTCATAATCTAGGAAGACTCCCACCCGGCGGGGAGGGACTGGCAAGGACAGCAGGGGGTATTCATCGGTGCCTGCCCGGTACTCATTTCCCTTCCTCAGCCTTATCACCCAGAATCCATAGTGGGGGGATAAATAGACCACCTCCTTCCGGTCCACATTTTCTTTACACACTCCCAGTCCCCATTCAGACCTGTCTCCCACTTCCACCTCCCAGTAGTGCCGGCCTGACGAGATGCACTGGCTGCCTAGGACGATATTGTAGCGGTAAAATCTTTCAGGATTGTCAGGTAGATTCTGCTTGATGTCTCCATAACACACACATTTTTTGTCCTCCGACACGATAAGGCGGCAATAGGCAGTGTCTGGATCCAGGCACACATCAGCTAAAAGAAAACATCCTGGTTAGTAACACTGATACAGAGCTGGGGGCATGGGCATGGCCTCTCTGATGAATACAACCAGACTTCTCCATGATGGGTGGCAGTGGGACTCACTGGGGCGTCCAGAGGTCAGTGAACCATGTCTGGCAGGGAGGGGCCCGCCCACTGTTCATTACAGC